TGCTTCCAAAGATACGGGGTGGAAGAGAGAACAAAGGTAAGTGAGGAAACATGACAGAGAATGAAACTTGGTTCTGGATATCTGAAGATGGCATACGATAAATAAGATAGCAAGATGTAAGAATTGCATCCCCCGAAAATGCAACGGAGCATGAGATTGTATGAGTAGGGTACGAGCAGTTTCAATACGATGTCTATTCTTTCTTTCAGCTACCCCATTTTGTTGAGATGTGTACGAACAAGATGTTTGATGAATAATCCCATGAGATTTCATAAACTGCTAAAATGGGGAAGGCAAATACTCTCGGGCATTATCACTACGAAATGTGCGAATAGAAACCCTAAATTGATTTAGAATTTCAGCGTGGAAGGTCTGGAAAATAGAAAACAGCTCAGATCGATTTTTTATCAAAAATATCCAAGTACACCTGGAATAATCATCAATGAAACTGACAAAGTAGCGGAATCCCAAGGTGGAACTGACCCGACTAGGACCCCAAGCATCTGAATGGAATAAAGTAAAAGGTGACTCTGCTCAATTATCAAGACGCCGAGGGAAATGGGAGCGAGTATGCTTACCGAGCTGACATGACTCACACTCTAGAGCTGACAAGTGAGATAAACCAGATACCATTTTCTGAAGTTTTGACAAACTGGGATGTCCCAATCGTTTATGTAATAAATCTGGTGAATCAGTAACAGGACAAGTTGTAGAAGGAAGACATGATGTGAGTCCATGTGATTTAGCAAGGATAAGGTAATAAAGTCCGTTTGATTCACGTCTGGTACCAATGGTCCGCCCCGTACTGCGTTCCTGTATAAAAACATTGTCATCAAGAAATAAAACAGCGCATTTAAGTGATTTGGCTAAGCGACTAAAAACTATGAGATTAAAAGGACTATTGGGAACATAAAGGACTGAATCTAAAGGTAAGGAAGGAAGTGGACTTGCTTGACCTATTGCAGTTGCCATGGTTTGAGACCCATTGGCCATTGTGACTTTTGAAAGAGATTAAGAATACGAAATAGTAGTGAAAAGAGATGTGTTACCAGAAATATGATCTGATGCACCTGAATCAATGACCCAAGACTCGGAGGATGAAGATTGGGAGAAACAAGTCACGCTATTACCTGTTTGAACAACAGAAGCTATCTCACAGATGTCTGCTTACATGCTTTGTACTAAAGGAACTCAATATAATCTACTAAAGAAACCATCCGACTATTCAAAGCATCGGTTCCCATGTCGCTACAATTTGTAGTAGTAGGGTTAACTTGAAATAGTGGAAATAAGTAACTCCTGTGAGAAAACTGAAGAAATAGCTTGAAAAACACTGTTTACAGGAAAACAGAATATTGTTTTGCGCCGGAAACACTGTTCGCGCTGGGAACACTGTAGCTCGCCGGAATCTACTGTAGCTGACGGAAAAACTCAAAGTGGTAGGAATGAAACAAACCAGTGAGGGTAGGATCGGAATTACCAGGCGATCCTATTGTTCAACTGAAACTTTTTCAAAATTTGGTTGGAACAGTACTCACGCGCCGGCGTGTGGGTCAAATCTCGCCGGAAAATTTTTCCTTTTCCAGGCGCGTGAGGGCACGTAGGCGTGTGTTTTCCGGTGGGGTTGACTGGGGTTTGGTCGCCGGAGCCTGAGGAGTCTTGTGGTGGTGTTGGTTTTTGCACAACACCAACAGAAAGTGATTTGCTTACGGACAGCCTTCTAAGTCACCGAAAAATTGCACGGCAAAGAGGTCTTTCTTCCCGGAAGTTGCTGGAATGATGCACAACGACGGGTTTCTCACTAATGCTCTGATACCATGTGAGAAAGCACAGGAGAAAATATATTATTGATATTAGATGATAAATACAATACAAGAGGTCCCTATTTATAGCTATACACTACAAGGAGATATTACTCCTCTTCCAATTTGGGACAAGACTACACTATACATATCTGTAAACTAACAACAATCAAAGCACATATGCATTAAGAGTAGGAACCTATATACTTATCACAAAAAATAGGAGGCAGAAGCTATACGAGCACGTAGATTACTGCAATCAAATGATTTTTAAACAGAGATACCTCGGATGCTATCACAGTAATCACATCCACAGAGAATGCACAAGTCAATGAACTGATCCATACTAAGTTCGAGCTCCTCTAATATCTGCGACAAGATATGCTATATATATTATGTACTTGACATCAACAAAAAATATAGAAAGTGTTCAGGACCATTTTACCTGGGAGATATCAAATTCCATCACTGGAATCTTTTTGGAGCTAGGATCCATTAAATGGCGAAGAAACCTTGAAGCTCCAAAAGTTAAGGAATCCATATCTTCTGAGGCTACAGCATAGACCTGACAAGCAGAGGAAGTCTTTCTCATCTGATACCTCATCTACAAAGATGCCCGACGAATGACTGGGAAGTGAAAAAACTGACAGAATTGCACGTCACTACTCTTCAGAAAAACATTTCACTGTCAACCCCCACCAAACCTCTGAAGTTTTCATTATAGCATATGTGCGAATGACTATACATACCATGAAGAAACTTAATTTTGCAAATTTAGGCCTTAGATATATCCATTACAACATTATAAACTAGATATTCCAATGATATCAAGCATCAAACAAGTTACCAGGTAATCTGAGCATGTCATTAGTGATGTTTGCTTTAATACCCGGGCATAGTACTAGCAATTTATATTTGACAGGGAATACATGCCTTTTCGGCCTTGCAAAGTGCAGCACACTGAGCCTCTGCTTCAGAAGGAGCCTAAGGAAACCATCAAGGGAAAAATTTAGACTTTCCATAGCATCAGGGGGAAAAACTGTACTTTGCAGACATACCATTGTATGTAAAATTACGTGAAAAAAGGTGCAGTGAATGCTATTAGCCATCTAAAAAACACCCTACAACCAGAATAACTATACAGACATCGTCACATCGAACTCACCTCAACAACAGGTACACCCATCAGTCTAAGAAGCTTCTTGCAGTCATCATTGTGTTGGGGTGTAACCTGAAAATCAGGTATGTGTCATTCAAATACATGCACAGGTTTTGGCAATTTACCATGTAAAAAGAGGGTTGGAATCCAAAAAATTTGGGAGCTTTACGAGCCGAAGCATATACTATACAATGAGATATCCCATATTTCACAACAAGTCATTTTATTCAAAGTCTCAAACACTTCAGTGGTATTAGTAGCTACTATTGCACCACACACTTGCCAACCTTACAAGTGTAGTTAAAAAGTTATTCTAAAATTATTGCCTGAGAGTTAAAACTTCTTTTTCTACTCAGAACCAGCAAATTTATGTTGAAGAAGGTTGTAAATCATAATTCAATAGCAGAAAATCAATATGGTTACAGGCTTTGGAGTTTGAGCATATATGCGCTTCTGAGAGACATTGTCTACACAAAATGACATTAAAAAATGAAGCTCAACAGATGATGTGTAAACAAAGGCGCTTCCTTTTCTTGACATTATTACTTATGTGCTGATGTACTTTTTCAGCACAGTTTCACAAATCTTGTAATGGTAGATAACAGAACAATAAGGGTTTGAACCATCTACAGTGCAATAAGATCAAAGGAGTAGTAGACAAACACTATTTCTGGTTTACGCAACTAATAAACTTAGAACTGTTCGGAAGTCAGGTTTTACAGGTAGCACTCCTAAAGAATAAAAAAATTTAAATACCCACCTTTACGGTTCTCTTGCTGAATTTCTCAATATCCTCCTTGTTGCCAATCTGTAATCAGAATGCAACTATATCAATTATGTGAAAGACATAAATGAGGAAAAATAAAAAGTGGACCAAAAACATAGAGCATGTCATACACTTTCCCAACCCTTTTCCAGGGTGGAAGATACAACAAATTAAATTCAGTATTGAAATAAGCCCAAACAACAACAACAATCCCAGTATAATCCCACAAATGGGGTCTAAGGAGGGTAGTGTGTACGCAGACCTTACCCCTACCTGGAAGGTAGAGAGGCGGTTTCCGATAGACCCTCGGCTCAAGGCAAGATGAATATAAAGCAGTGGCACAAGCATTAACAACAACAAGATAACGAAGCAAAGGGGACAACACGTAAAACTAGAAATCTAACAATAATGCCGTACCAGACTAACACTAATTCTACTGGTATGTAAAATAAGCACAATAAGCCCAAAAGAGGTACTAATTTAACTATCAAACCTCTGTAGCCTTAGCCAAATCATCTGTGGCATCTTCCCTTCTAGAGTAACTGCATAGACAAGAAACAGGGTCAAAACATGAATAAACAGGCAGGATGTCGTGGATATAATACAAAGAGCATATAACGGGAGCTAATAGTACCGTTTTGCAAGTTCTTCTTTCTTCAGATCTGGGGGCTTCCCATCAAAAACATAACTGTTACAAAAGACAGAGAATTACTGAAAAGGAACAAGGCAAGAAAGGGACAAAGGAAAAAACACAAACACCTAAAGCAGCAACTTACACTGGCTTGATTCCAGCTTCCAAAAGCCTAATTGTCCGCGAAAACATCCCAACCAAATGACTGCAAATGCACACAGCTATCATAATTAATAAAGCGACAGCTTTGTAATGTCAACTTCAGAGTAGAATCATATAAAGCCTAACATAAGCAATTATATAAAACAACACATACACAACTATGGTCGATTTTAATCTTTAAAGCAACAAACAAGACGCAAAATGTTAACCCTACAGTTCATTTTAAGACTATCACTATGTAACGACCCGACTTGTCGTTTTGAGAATTAGCGTCCCGTTCAGCGGTTTAAGATCTCGAGCAGCTTCGTAATGCGTATTATGACTTGCGTGTGTGGTCGAATTTGGTTTTCGGACGATTCGGGATCAAATTGGAAGAACAATTCTTATTTAAGAAACTTAAAAGAAAAGAGTTGACCGGAGTTTGATGGTTCCAATAGCGTCGTATGGTGATTTTGAACTTAGGAGTGTGTCCTGATATTTATTTAAGAGTCCGTAGTTGATCTTGGCTTAAAATGGCGAAAGTTGGAAATGAAAGGTTTGGAAGTTTGACCGGGAGTTGACTTAACTGATATCGGTGTCGGAATCCAATTCTGAAAATTTTGATAGGTCTGGTATGTCATTTATGACTTGTGTGCAAAATTTGAGGTCAATCGGACTTGATTTGATAGGTTTCGGCATCGAATGTAGAATTTGGAATTCGAAAGTTCATAAGTTTCTTAGGCTTGAATTGATGCGTGATTTGTGATTTTGAGGTCTGGTATCTCGGGGAAATTCTTGAATAAATCTTGTGTGAAAGTGGTGGTTGCCGAAATAACCTTGACCTGGGCGAAATAGAAAAGATTTCCCGTCACCAGCGCCCAGGGTAGCGTGGGGCGCTAGCCCTGGCGCTGGGATTTTTGAGGTTCTGGAAACAGGGCCATAGGTAGCGCCTCACGCCACCTGTCGCGCTCGAAATATTAATTACTCACTTCGAGGTTCATTTTTCCCCATCAACCTCCTACTTTCAGTGGTTTGGCTTCAGAGGATGCACATGGTTTTCTTGAGGAGTGTCACTATATTCTCCGCACTATGGGCATTGGGGAGAGGAGTGGGGTTGCTTTTACCACGTTCCAGCTAAAGGGAGCGGCATATTAGTGGTGGCGGGCGTACGAGGTGGGTAGCCCAGCCGAGGCAGCGTCACTTACATGGAATCGGTTTTCAGAGTTTTTCTTAAGAGAGTTTGTTCCTCAAACCCTTCGGGATGCTTGGCGCGCGGAGTTTGAGCGGTTGCGCCAGGGTATTATGTCAGTGTCAGAGTATGCTGCCCGATTCAGTAACTTGTCTAGGCATACACCGGCCTTGGTTGCTACGGTCAGAGAGCGAGTCCGTCGATTCATTGAGGGACTCAACCAGAGTATTAGATTCAGCATGGCTAGAGAGTTGGAGTCAGACACCACGTATCAGCAGGTGGTTGAGATTGCACGGAGGTTAGAAGGTATGCGATACCCTGATAGAGATGATAGGGAGGCCAAGATTTGTCATATGATTCCTTACTTGAACCCATTCATATGTCATTTGTACTCTGACTATGTTATTGGTTAATTACTTGATTGTTTTCTCGTTGTCATCCGTGTTCTCCTTGTTGATTTGAATTAGAAAGTCTTCTGATATTGTCCTTACAATGATATTCTTTCCTTGTTAGCTTTATGTAACATTTTGTACAGGTTTATATGTCTGGTAGGTGTCTTGACCTGGCCTCATCACTACTCTACTGAGGTTAGGTTTGATACTTACTGGGTACCGCTGTGGTGTACTCATGCTACACTTCTGCACATTTTTGTGCAGATCCAGGCACCTCAGAGTTGTTGATATTCCTGTTATCTGATCGTGCATCTCTGTGGAGACTCAAGGTACACCTGTTGTCGCGTTCGCAGCCTCAGAGTCACCTTCTGATATTATCTTTGCACTGTTTGATTCTATTCTGGAACAGTTGTATTTAGAAATTTTCTAGTAAACTCTGAAGCGCTTGTAACTTGTACTACCGGTTTTGGGATTGTAGGAAATTTCTATTTCATATTTATTTCAGATATTTGGTTGATTTATTATCATTTCGTCTGAACTGTTAAAATGGCTAAAATGTATTCGAACGTTGGCTTGCCTAGCAAGTGAAATGTTAGGCGTCATCACGGTCCCGAAGGTGGGAATTTCGGGTCGTGACACACTATATGTGGAGTAATAAAAGTTTACCCTTTGACTACGAAAATAAAACATTTTTATTAAACAAAATTGCAACTTATAGTACTTCTTAACTAGTTTCTAAATTTGTAAATATAATTTTTTTTTAAACTTAACAAACCAATGTATGAATCAAGACTAGATAGCTTGCCATTATTCTTTTTTCAAACATGAAGGATTCGAACACTCTGCATCCAAAGTCAGTCAGAAATCATCACAAATTTCAAAGAGTCGAGTCATGTTTCAGACAAATTAGAAGGAAAAAAAAGTACTATAATTTAATATACCTAGTAGTTTCCCCAGCTTCATTCGTGAGCATTTCCGTACCGCTTCGTCCTACCACAATCTATACAACAGAAATTCACCATCAAACCCAAATAACTGCACATGCATTAATAGAGAATGCACACTGAACAGGTAAATGTCATACCAGGAACTGGTAAATGCTCATACTAGCGTCGATGGCTATTTTACGGCCAAAATAGCTCTCGAATTTCTGCTCTTTCATTCCCCTTGGCGCATTGTCCGCCAATAACTTCGTTAAACCCTATAATTCACAGAGAAACAGTTCAGTTTATGAAATATCTAAAGAAAAATTGATGGATTAAACACTATATTCCGCGTGAACATACCTTAATTCCCATTTTTGGGATAGAAATTAGAAAAACAATGTCGCAGCAAGATGAAAAGAAGCTTTAATTTCTCAAAGGTTGGGTACTAGGGTTTAATCTTTCCCGCCTCTTTGGTATATATATGTTGTATATCCACAAGTCTTGTATTATACGCTTGGTTTTGCTCGTATGTTTCGAGTTTAATTTTCTGAAATTTCCAATTGGCCTGGTTATTCGCCACGTAAGATGTTACTCGGACAAACCAGCTCGTGAATAGCACGCGTCTTGCGGATAGTCGCTCTGCAGACTCGCAACAGGTGACGTATGTCACATTCTTATGTTATTCCCGTCTGAAACAAAAACTAGAGAAAGGTTGATTTTAAGTTTTTTTTATACTAAAAGTGCAATTTAACTTATTATTGCAAGTTATTATTTTATTTTTTAAGTTATTATATGAGAGGTATGATTTGGGATCCGAGGGGAGAAAATATGTCAAAATACCGGTGGGACATAGGGAATTGCTATGGAATAATAGAAAATAAAGTAAAACAAGAGGAATATAGAGGGAGATAATTAATAAATTTTTTTTGATAATATTCTACAAGTTTTGGCCCTATTTATAGGTACTTTTGCATGAAAGGATTTGGCCACTTGTCCAAAGTCTTGACACTCGTTGAAAGTTTTGACATTTGTTGACAAGGCTTTGCCATTTTTTGAAAGTCTTGACATTTGTTGAAAGGCCTTGTCACTTGTTGAAGGCCGTGCCACTTGGCCATATTATAACAATAGACTAGTTTATGGCCAACTACTTTACTCCCAAGTAATTTCATACTAATATATAGACATTCACTCTTAATATTATTTATAACACTCTTCCTTTAATGTCCATTAGTAGATAATGTGATTCGTTAAAACCCTACTAGGAAAAATTTAGTGAAAAAAAATTTTAGTGAAGGAAAAAGAGTACACATATTTGAAAACCCAGTGGGACAAAACCTTGTAAGGGTAAAAGAGTACAACGCATATTAACTCCCCCTGATGAGAGCATCAATTCACATCTTTGAGCCTTCGCATACCAATCTTGTATACTAGTTTCTTGAAGGTTGACGTTGGTAGAGATTTGGTGAACAAATTAATCATGTTATCACTTGAACGAATTTGTTGTACATCGATATCACCATTCTTTTGAAGATCATGCGTGAAAAATAATTTTGGTGAAATGTATTTTGTCCTATCTCTTTTTATGAATCCTTCCTTCAATTAGGCTCTGCATGTTGTATTATCTTCATATAGTATTGTTGGAATGTCCCTTTGTAGTGGAAGTCCACATATTTCCTAGATATATTAAATCCTTGATCCGAGCCAAATACTTGCTTCATAGATCATCTTGGCATAATCTCTTGTGCATCAATATTTGATTATTTTGTAGAGTAGTATGATATGATAGTATCCCAATGCAAATAGATAACTTATCTGAAAAATGAACTTCAAGTAATGAAAAGTTTCATGCATTTGCATAATCAACAATACCTTGATAATATTTGTTAGGATAAAACAAATCTATATCAATGGTTCAATTTTGTAATGCATTATCAATCTGATTCACACGAGAGTAATTAAAACTATATCATGCTAGCACATTACCATGTGCTCATAGTTTTTATCAAGATAAATAAGTGCAGAAATCGCACTAGATATAATGCTCCGGACCAAAAAATATTTATCATTTCATGAGGTCTAAATAGATCTTTGTTTATATCAAGCGTTTTCACGACCATTGGAGTATTCAATAGAATCGCTTTAGAATCTTTTGTGATGTTAGATCTTTCCAAAATCATTCATTTTAAATTAATTAAGTGGATAATCTACTGCTTTCGAAACTCCCCAAGAATTCAAGTAGTTATGATACACAAGCATTTTGTCAAATCATATCCAAATTATTTTATAAAGACATAAGAATAAAATGGGTCATTTTTGTACCCTTCCTTTAATAGTTACTTGTTAAGGCGATTATATCGCATGCGCCCTGATTGTTTCAATCCGTGAGAATTTTGGAAGCTTTCTTGAATAAATTTTTCGGGAACCTTTACATGCTTCATAACAGACTAAATCCTTTAAGGATTTCATATAAACTTTGTTGTCTAGCTAGCCATATTAATAATGACAACAATTCACTATACGCATATTAAAATTTTCATGTATTGCCAGACTCTACCTGCAAGTAATTGCATCCACCACAAGAGAACTTCTCTCCGTATAATCAATGTCAGGATATTTGCGATATATCTTGTGCCACAGGTCATTTTTATATCTATTGACTTTTTTTATTTATTTAACTTTCGCACAAAAAGCACATTTATACCTCCACTAGTTTTATACTTTCGGTTGTTGGGACTATCCGTCCAACTTCACATTTTTCAGGTGAAGTCAATTTTCAATGCGTATTTTTCATTTGGCCAAATTATTTTTTTGTCCAAATTTTATGACGGATTTGAGCTCAAGATCCTCGTCAATATTAATAATATTATGCGAAACATATATCAATAATATCATCGACGACCATTTTACATCGGCTCCATCATAACTCAATAAAGACATAACTATTGAAATCTCATTATTTTTAGGTACATGAGCCTCTCCCATGAGGTCTTATAAAGTGTTATGTCATGGTGCTCTTATACAACACTTGCCTCCTTATTATGACCATTTGTTCATCTCCTTCTAACCAATTGGTCTATTACGCTTCATGCGTGTCATAGACTCTGTCCAACATAGACTTTATTCTATTTGAAGCATTAGCAGCTGATTTATGATATTTAACTTGGGTCAGCAAATGCGCCTGGCAATATTTTGCAAATACATTATCACTTGAATTTCAAGTTCACATTTTCTTGTACGAGGATCTAGGTGTACTCATAATAATTCATTCCATGTATTACTTTATTAGCTGCCTATTTTCTCCCCCTAATATTGTAATCACCAACACATATCCCCAACCTTATTTGGGGATCCATCTTTGTGCATTGTGATAGAATAATTAAATCATATAGCACATCTCTATTTCTAGATGAAAATTATTTAGTTCCTGACCCTAAACCAGTTGTGATGGAAGAATTTATCATAACTTGTTGGCTAGATAGGTACAAGTGCTACTACTATATATTAAATAATACATCTTATACCAAATTTCTTTTTGGGAGTTTTGTTCTCATAACCAAATGTTTAGCTATAATTGGAGGCATATAATTTCTGCTAAACCAAATTAGATTTAAACCAGCATTATCAAGATAAATCATCATAATTTATATTTTGGAACCGTGCTCTAATAATTTGAGTAAGCAACCTTGCAAAAGCCAAACTGTAAGTTAATAATAAGCGCACATATGACCATACAATAGATGCAACTATTAAAATTATATAATAGTAAACAGTCCATATGACATGTGACTGGGCCCATATATATATCACCTTTTATTCGTTCTAGAAATCAAAGGATTTAGTCCCAACCTTAGGTGGAATATCATGAGAATAAACAGCACATAAGAATTATTGAAGAATCTTATATTTCTTCAATATATGCCAATATGAATTCTCAATCATTTGCGCATCATAATTGAACCGGGAGGGCCTACCGGTCATGCCAACTGATATTTGTTTCAGTAAACCTCTAGTTTACTTGTGGCATGCGATTCCATTATCATGCTTATACTTGTGTAGTACAAATAGAAGAAAAATCGGGTAACTTTTTATATTTACCCAGTATGATTATAGTAATATGAAGATATTCAATCTTCCCATCATTTATAGTCTCAATATGCCAACCACTTAGGCTAATATTTTTGAAACTCGAAAAACAAATCGTTTGAGACTTACTACAAAATCATGAATAATTTAATTCATCCGAATAGTAACAAATTCGCTCTTCCAGAACTCTTAATTAATTTTGTACTACATATCTTTCTTCACACCACCCATATGGTGAATGTTTCCTCCACGAAAAAATCATATTAATATTATCATGGTCAAAATCATTATAGGCAAGACTCATTTCTTACTTTACTCTTACCTTTAATATATTCTTATAAGGTATTGCAAAATACTTTTGGCATACCACATGTACGCGACCAAAACCGTACAATAATATTTATTATCTTTATTTTGCTCTAACCTCCCTTAGAGGTGAGTTGTGGTATTTATCCAATAGTTCATGAGCATGTCCTTATTCATAACTTTTATCACATGTTGTCACATTTATTTTTAGGAATGGTCTACATTCACACTGTTTATCACATGTCACATTCTCTTCAAAGAATGAACTATAATTCTGGACGTGCTTTATTTTTTATACCATATGATTGTAAACATTGCCTTCACTTTTTGAAGGATTATTTTGGGAACCCTTATTGTTCTCCTTTTTATAATTATCATAATGATGACTATTATTATTTTAATCATTGGCACAACCATGTTTATTGGTCAACCACATATCTTCATTTAGACTTATTATGCACTGCTACTGCATCACTTCAAGTATGGAGCAAATAAAGTGGGACAAACTTCATGTTTTTTCATGAAATATACATTATTTTTCTTAGTCATTATTATATCATCAATATGGTGCATTGAGACTCAAACCCAATGTCTTACCCATATAAAGACATATTAAGTCATAATGCGCTGGGAATCGAACCAATGTCTTATTATCATGGTGCACCAGGAGTCAAACTTGATGGCTTACCCTCATGGTGTGCTAGGACTTAAACCCACCGTCTTACCCTCAATCAATGTCATCACTAGGCCAAAGTGCAATGGGACTCACTCTCGCCCTTAAGAATATTAACACTTTTGATGGTTATAGGCACAAAGTCATTCACGAGTCAGAGTGAAATTATTATCATGTTAATTAGATTCACATAAATTCAAACAAACGCGCAAAGAATTTTACATAAACTACAGTTATACCAAGAAATTAATCTTTATGTTGCTATTTTGCAACTTAACATACCACACTACCAGTTACTTGCTTGATTAGTAATTGTAACATAAAATATAACGAGAAGAGGTAATGCATCAAAGCACTTAAGCTTCTGGTGTAATTGACCAATAAAGCAATATAAATATGTTATTGGCTATGAGTTTCAA